GGTATTCTGCATTGCGCTGTATAATGTACTATTGTTGGGTTTTGTAGTCCTCTATACAGCGCAATGCAGAATACCACCAGCTATATAGGAATACAACAAATCCCAGCAATACATTATACATACAGTGTATAATGTATTGCTGGGATTTGTAGTCCTCTATAGCTGATGGTACATTGGTCTGTATAATATACAGCACAATGTACCATCAACTATAGAGGAATACAAATCCCACTATCCCAGCCATAGATTATAGAGCACCATGTGTGGGAAAGTGCAGGCTTACCTGAGCAGTCTTCCAGCAACCTGTTTCTGAGATGGGGCCTGTCTATCGGCGGCTGTCATCCGCCCACACCTGCTCCTCCTTACTTCTTCTCCCTGCGTCCCTGTACCGACCGTGGATTTGGGCGGGCAGTGAGCGTGAGGCAGGGAGGAGGTGTGGCGTGTGGAGCATGGATGCGGTCGGGTCTGAGGTGGGGAGGAGGTGTGGCGCGCAGCGTGTGTGGAGCCGTGAACAGGGGCAACCAATCGGAAGCCGATTAATCGATGATTGAAATAGTTGACAACTTTTTCAATAATCGATTATGTCGATTAGTTGTTGCAGCCCTAAACTTAATAATCGGCGAACTAATCGATTATGAAAATAATCGTTAGCTGCAGCCCTACCTCTCTCTATAGGAGAACCAGGTCATCAAATACACAGCACTGTCCCTTTGCACATTCAGGGCATAGTGACAGTGTCTGCAGACAGCCCAGAATAGAATATTCAGTATATAAAGTGCTGTATAATACTATCAGAGACTGCAGACATGCGGCCTTGTCAGAGACTATAGATCTGCTGCAGACTGGGGACACATTACAAAAGACTGCTAGACATCACTGCGATTACAGCCTCGCTGCAAATCAATTGTCCCACATCTGGGGTCTGAAAAGGACTGGACAGCCAGCACCATAGGGTCACACGCTGCAGGTTAAGTAATGATCTACTCCTGGTACTCAACTGGTGGGTCCTGACCCAAAAGTGAGAGAGTCACAACCCCATGTTCAGTGGGTCACCGCATATCTTCCACTGCACTAGGTGAAAGGCTCCTCAGCCTCCCTCATAGCGCAGCAATGTCAGTTCTCATGCTGAGCAGCCATTCAAAATATGTTGCCCGGTGCCGAGTGTCAGCTTGAGGTGAGGTGGGCTGGAGGTCAGGCTGTGAGGGAGCTCCATCCATTCGTGCATTGCTTACAGCTCCCTCGGGTGACCAGAGCGACGTCACATTCTGGCTGCCGGCACCTCTACAGGGTGTGCGAGGGAGCTGTACAAGCAATGCACATATGGATGGAGCTTCGTCATAGCACAGCAGCCTGGACTGAACCCCTAAAAAGTGTTTTAATTGCAAACTGCCCCACAACTGCACCAACTGTTCGTTCTGGTGCATTCACCTAAATGGCACCCCAAACACACCTCCTGCCCACAGTTTGACCAATTGCACTGGAAGATGCGGTACTGTAATGCCGTGCGTTCCAGTGTGGTGCGACATGGGTTGTTACTCATGACTGAGGACAAATGCTGCTCTATACAATATGTAGGTGAACCTGTCACAGGACTTAGCCTTGTACATGAGGCTCCATCCTGTTCTCAATAACTAGAATGCTACTGTGAGCCATCGTGTGTGTCCTGCTCTAGTGAAAGTATACAGGAAATGAAACTTTTAAAGAATTACTAAGAAAATATATATATATATAAAAAAACATTGTTTAAGTGTCAGGAATGCCGTTAAATAGCTGGAAAGACACTTACAGGGTCAGTCAGCACGTCACTGTTCATAGGTAGGATGTGTTCAATGCGGACAAATGGCAACAGAGGAGACAAGATGTCCCGTAGCTCCTCGACGTCCAGGTCTCTCCTCTTCACCCCTCGCTTGTTCACGCTGTGCGCCGTTCCACTCAAGAGATTAGGTTCTGCGGCACACATGATGGAACGATCATTAAAGTCATATGAAACGCTCAAACTTTCTTCTGATAACAAATCCGCATCAAACAAATATACATTACGGAGCAAAGTATTTATTTACATTTTTGACCAAACCCTTACAGTCATCATGTTTCTGAAGAGCTCCAACTCTCTCAACTCTACTTCCTTGAACTTCCTATGGAGTGCAATATCACAAGGGACAGCACAGTCTCCAGCAACTATCCATCTACAAGCTTGGAGAGGGGAGGAAGAAGGAGGGAGGAAGGGAGTGAATTGCATTTGCATTGTCTCTGTTTGTGGAGACACATACAGCTTACTAGCACACACAAGGGAGTCTCCATAGGACCCTGCAAGGGAAAGGAGCCCCCCTTAAACAGGATATCAGGGCGATCAGCTGATTCTGCAGGAAGCTAAAACTTTGAAACCTCAAGAAGCAGCGTCCATTGTAAGTGATTTAACCAGCATTTCATATTGCTTAAACATGTGTTGGAAGCCCATTGGCCACTATACAAATTTGTGAAAGTAATTATGGCCTTTCCTGCAATGCTTCAATCATTATAGCGTATCCAAACCCCAAAACAAAAATGTAATCTATTGTAAGATTGGTGGCTGCATTAGTTTCCCTTTTTTCCTTTATCTGGTGGGTCTGCCAGTAACACACTCCTGTCCAAGGGTGACAACACTTATTCACTGTACTACAGAACAAAGTAAGTGTTGTCACCCTTGGACAGGAGTGTGTTAATGGCAGAACCACCAGGTCTATGGAGGGGTGACTGTCACCCATGGTTGCTCTCCTGATTTAGATTAAAAACACCTCCCCTCCTCTTCATCTCTATTCCATAGAGGGGAGCTGATTTGCAGATCACAGAAGATTGCTTGGAAAGCTGATAACACTATTCGAGATTTCACTTCAGTTCATCAGGAGTTACAAAGATACTTTTCTGTAGTTAGAGAAGATGTACTTAGCCTGAAAAATGGAAAACTAATGCAGCTACTACATCCAAGGACCGGTAAAGCTGCATTGACATTTTCTTTCTTGGGTTTAGATACACTAATATTTTCCATCAGATAAACCATTCCATAAATAGGTGTTGTATATAAATATACACTTATCAGCCATAACAATATGCCCACCCCCCTAATATTGAGTAGGTCCCCCTTTTCCTGACTCATTGAGGCATGGACTCCACTAGACCTCTGAAGGTATGCTGTGGTATCTGGCACCAAGCTGTAAGGTGGATCGGCCTCCATGGATCAGACTTGTTTTTCCAGCACATCCCGCACATGCACAAAGGGGTGTACTTGGTCAGTAACAATGTTTAGGTCGGTGGTATGTATCAAAGTAACATCCACATGAATGGCAGGACCCGAGGTTTCCCAGCAGAACATTGCCCAAAGCATCACACTGACTCCCCCGCCTTGTCTTCTTCCCATAGTGCATCCTGGTGTCATCTCTTCCCCAGGTAAGTGACACACATACACCCAGCCATCCACATTATGTAAAAGAAATTTAGACCGGGCCACCTTCTTCCATTGTTCCGTGGTCCAGTTCTAATGCTCACAGCCCATTGCAGGCGCTTTTGTGGATTGGGGTCAGCATGCACACCCTGAGTGTCTGTGGCCATGCAGCCTCATATGCAATAACCTGCGATGCGCTGTGTGTTCAGACACCTATCAGAACTTGCATTAACTTTTTCAGCAAACGGAGCTACAGTAGCTCTTCTATTGGATCGGACTACACGTGCCGGCCTTCACCCCCCCATGTGTATCAATGAGCCTTGGACACACATGACCCTGATGCTGGTTCACCGGCTTTAGTTTCCTTTGGTCGGTCTTGACTACAGCAGACCGGAAACATCGCACAAGAGCTGCAGTGTTGGAGTTGCTTTGACCCAGTCGTCTAGTCATAGCAATTTGGTCCAACAAAGTTGCTGAAATCATTACACTTGTCAATATTTTTTGCTTCCAACACATCAACTTCAGGGACAAATGTTCACATGCTGCTTAATATATCCCGCCCCCCGCACTCCCCCACTTCGAGGTGCCATTGTACTCCATACCTTGATGAGCCATGGTTGTTTTGGCGGTAAATAGGGAAACCTACTCAAGATAAGGCAGGTAGTCATAATGTTATGGCTGATCGGTGTATACTATGTGCTTTACCGTACTGCCCCTAGAATGTGTATGATACAGGGCATGCAGGAAAATTAGGTTGTAATCAGGGGCCGATGATTCTAGGTCACACGTGAAGAGCTTTGGAATATTCTGTCGCTACATAACTGCAGGTTATAATGATTGCCTTACTGCCCCGATCCCTACCTCTGTCAGCAATCCTCTTCATCAGTTGATATTCCCCCCATTTTATAAGATATTTCAGGACATCCTGTTCGCTTGCCTGCAACAGTGAAGGAAAAAGGTTACTCTGGCACAAGAACACCAAAACACAACCAAAGCAAAGCGTCTTCTGTGTCCTACAGACCAGTTTTTTTTAATTAAAAAATGAACTGGGAATGAGTTTAAAAAGCAAATACAATTGAAGTAGATTTGATGGTTTGAATGGAGTGGACAATGATTAACCAGCAACCGGCTTGCTTCTACTGCTAAATACAAATAAAATACTTGAATGCCCCGCTGGCAACGGTGCTCAGCTTAAGATAAATCGCCCCAATGCAGTAGTGCATGCATCCCTGTAGTGATGTAGGAACTGGCAGAAGGATCCACTGAACGTGGGGGGGAGGGGGGGAGGGGTGGACACACTGGAGATCCACAATCCGGAAGTGTCATTTTCTGAAGAGACTATTTCTCTTTAATGGAGCGATGCTCCGAGGTGAGGGCAGTGAGAGAGGCAAATATTGTTTCTTCTTTCCAGGGCCAACCTTTTTTTTTTTTTTCACACCGTCTCATTGCATTACCCTGAACTTTACTGCAACGTGTGGCATGAATGGCACTCCAACGCACCTTGCAACAAACGTAAAATGCAAGGCGCTTCCAAAAAAAAAAAGCACTGCTGTGTACTGCAACGCAGGGCTGCTGGCAAGATGCATTGGGACACCCTGCAAATAAATGGCACGTGCGTTACTGCAACAAGATGGTGTGAATGGTCCCTTAAAGCCGAACTCCACTCACTATTATACAGGATTTATATTGCGCCAACAGTTTGCGCAGCGCTTTACAACATAAGGAAGACATTATAATCACAATACAATTCAAGACACAACGGTAAGGAGGGCCCTGCCCCTGAGGGCTTACAATCTAAGAGGGAGGGGCAAGTGATACATGAGGAGGTGGCTATTATTTAGCAATTGCTTAGAGAAGCTGGAGTTGGGCTGTAAGACCATTACAAGTGGCTTAAAGTCAACGTGACTTGGCCTAAAAGTCAGCATTGGGGCTGATCTGCAGACACAGCTGAGAACTAAATCCCCCCCCCTGTCAAACACTAGCAGGGCTATTCACGAAAGGGTGAAGAGTTTGGGGAAGGCCGGAGAAGGGAACAATTTAGGACGACATCGCTGAACTGGAAAGTGAGCTGAATTGGAGAATTGTTCCAAATCAGCTATGTTGTCCTAGATTGTTCACTTCTCCGGCCTTCCCCAAACTCTTCACCCTTTTGTGAATAGCCCCGTCAGTGGTAACTTCAGAGGGTAGTAGAGGCTCTGGCATTTGCCTTCGTATGTATGAGCTGTAAGCAAGAATATTTTTTGTGGCTGTTCTTTGTTCTCCGAATGCAAAAACTCCACTGCATTCCATGCAGCGATTCAGCACAAAAATAACTAATTAAACCTGTCATTTCAATGTTTAGGTTAAAGGAACAACAACGCGAGAAGCCCAGACTCGTCTGCGTGTGGCTACGCCAAATCAAACAATGCAAAGACATGGCGGCCGCTCAGATCTCTGTATAGCTAGCAAAGGCAAGGTGCACATGGGTCTCCAGCACTCCATTCAGCTAGTTAGCACAAAAAGTTTTAATTTAGTATTTTTGCGCCGACTAGCTGGAACAAGTATTGGGGAATGTTTGTATAGTTCAGTGTACCGCCCTGCCCTTTGCTAGTTATAAACAGATTTGTGCGGCTGCCACTTTTTGTTTTGTGTGCTTCAGGGCTGTAACTACAAATCACGGTGGGCCCTATAGCAAAAAAGTGGTGCACCCCCCCCCCTCCCCCGGCGACCTCTCTCTGAGCAGTGAGTAACGATTCCGAGATCCCAAAGACTCCTCTTGTGCACCAGAATTCGTCTCTACACTGTAGACCAGGGGTAGCCAAACTTTGGCCCTCCAGCTGTGGTGAAACTACAAATCCCATGATGCATCTCTCTCCGGGAGTCATGTCGCTGTGTGTGAGAATCATGCAATGCCTCATGGGATTTGTAGTTCCACCACAGCTGGAGGGTCTGAGCTTGGCTACCCCTGCTGCAAACTTTACAGGGGATTAGAGTTATCAACTGAAATCACTCCTACAACCTAATGGGGCCCTTCCACCCCCAGGCCCCATAGCAGCTGCCTGGGCTGCGACGGCTATAGTGACGCCACTGATGTTCTTGTTGCTTCAGGGTCATGCAGGCTGTGGGGGCAGGGTCCACCCTGCGTATCATCAAACTGAGAAAAGCACAATGGTCGCAGAAGTGCTGGGGTAATCATTTATATATTTTAAAAAATCTCAGCGAGTTTACTGTAAACACAAATCTAGATACAGACACACTGATGTTCTGACTGACAGGTGTTGGCGTCCTAAATACTGCACAGATCCGGTCTTGCAGCACTGTAAAAGCAGCTTGTAAAAGGCGGATAGAGATGACTAATTCCCTTGTAATGTTGTGTTTACCTGTCATAAAACAGTCACACACACACAAGTACCTGCAGATAGTCCGACTGGATGACGGTCAGCAGATGGTCCTTGTTGAGCTCGTAGAAGACGTCGGAGATCATGACCTGGCTGAACTCTTCGCAGAGGAAGTGTAAAGCTTGCCGGTGGACCCAGTTGGAGCCGTACGGCTGAGAACTCCATTTTAAGATGGCAATTAATGTGTCCAGAGAAATGCTCTCCGCTATGATATCTTCACAGCCTGCAAGAGGGGAAGAAGCGCATATTGAGGGTCATGTACACCTTAAAGCACAGACTCTATATCAGGGATGGCCAAACTCCAGCCCTCCAGCTGTGGCGGAACTACAAATCCCATGCGTCATTGCAAGATTCTCACAGGCACAGACATGTCTCCCGGGGAGAGATGCATCATGGGATGTGAAGTTTCACCACAGCTGGAGGGCCGCAGTTTGGCTACCCCTGCTCTATATAAACAGATTGAAGTTTTGCTGGAGTGCTGGACGCTAGTGTAAAGAACAATCAGCAAGCACGTAGTGAAGGCAGCTCTGTAAAACAGGTGAACCGAACAGAAGTCACTGTGGTAGCGATGAAAAAAAGGACGGTCAAGAAGTGGAAGCCACAACTAAGTTTAATAGGTCCGGTTAATATTTATTTGCCAAAGTTTGAGGTCACAGCAGTGGCCAATGCATTTTGGGGGCTTACCAGTCCCCCTTCATCAGGGCTTGGAATGCAGAATAAAAGACTTGGTAGCACACTGGACTGGGATGAAATGGTTAAAAATGTGAATAATGTGTAGGTTGCTTGTTATTGCATTCCGACGGACTCTCTGACCAGCACCCTGAACTTTTATGAAGTGATTAAAAAGAATCTAATAACATGTCGGAAGGTTCCTTTAGGGAGCTGGTCAGACAGCATGTCAGAATGTAATAACGAGCAGCTACACATTCTTAAAATGTTTTACCATTTCATCCCGGTCCAGTGTGCTTATCTTCTATACAAAATTATAAGCCCTGAAAAAGGGGGATCAATGAGCCCCCGAAACACGTTGGCTGCTCCTGTGACTCTCACTTTGAGAAAAAAAATTAAAGCAAACTGGGCTTGTTAAACTTAGTTCTTAACTGTCTTTTCTACAAAAAGGAATTTAGCTAGTTTTTGTGTTCATATTGATTATAACTTTCTGTTCATATTTTAGTAATAAATTCATTTTCTGTCAATTATTTTTAAACTAGTATACAAAGTATTCCCTATATTACTAGAGGCCAAATAGGCAGCGGAATCTCTAAACTCAGCTCGTGCTAGGAATAGATCTTGATTACCAAGAGGAGGGACACAATCCTTCCCCTCTCCTAAGGCTGGGCACACACCTTACAACCATCGCAAGACTTTTGTCTTGCGATGGTTGTAAGGTAATTTAAAAAACGTACGATCGGAAGCCCATGAGGGGCGGGCTTCCGATGACCGCAATGCCGAACGGGCAGTGTGCGCTTGCGCATACCGGCCCGTCCGGCTTTTATCTTACGAACATGCTACACACCCACCGAACATAGTACGATGCTCGGCGGGTTTTCGAACATGTTCCTAAGATAAAAGTCGTGCGACCTTACAGTAGTAGAGGTCGCACGGCTTCCACACACCTTACGATAATCGTACGATCGCGGGATTTCCCGCGATTATCGTAAGGTGTGTGGGGACCTTAACAGAGACAGGTATGTTGTAATTAGCCTTCGACAGCTCCCGACTGGTATCCAGGCACTGCTAGGCTTCATTAGAAAGCCCAGCATCCTATGAAAAAAACTGAGTGCAGGGGGAACACTCTTTACTAAATGTTAATAATTTAACCTTGATGTAAGAACTTTACAAAAAAATTACCAAAAACACTTCCGCTATCCTAACTTCAAAAGGGAAACTAGTGTGTTTTCCGTGAGTTTGCATTTTCATCTACTGAGTAAGGGAAGAGTAAGCATCTCTGCCAGGTTTTCATTGTCGTGTTCTCCCACTGAGAAGATGCAATCAAATAATTTCGCTTGGAGACTGTACAGGAGCTTCCTGTAATAAAGACCGGTCACAGCTGCTCTCTCTCTCCTTGTACAGGGTGACTGGTCTTGTCTCCGCCCCCTCCAGTAATAAAGACTGCTCAATGCTGCTCTCTCTCCTTGTGCAAGGTGACTGGTCTTGTTTCCACCCTCTCCTGTAGGCAGTCTGAAGTGAGGCCTTCTGGGCCCCTTCCACAACCCAGATCATATGCCATCACTGAGCAGCACAAAGTAATATATCTGGGTTTCCGAGAGTTGTTTTTTTTATCCTAGGTGTCTATTTAGTAATATATTTTAATGAACATTTTTTTAGCCCAGTGTTCAGCTTTAATACAAGTGGCAGTTTCTATTAGTTATGTAAAACCAAAGTTTTACAGTAAAATATCTTCGTGTGGATCTACACCCCAATATGAAGCGGATATAAAATAAACCAGTAAGGGAAAGAAGAAAAAAAATCTGACATATGTTGGGCTCCGCTCTTCTGCCGTAGGCTGGTGGAAGTTCCAAAAATATCCAAGCTCTGTGAACACAAATGTGAAAGCAGCAATTTGTGTATATTCAGCGGCCACTAATGAGCAGTTATCTGATCTGAAACCTTCTGTGCAGGAAACGCAACGTGCAGAGCCGCTCTATGTAAAAAAACGAAACCGTTCTATAAAATGGAATATGTCCGAATCAGACCCAATTCAAAGTATTGGAATAAAGCCAATTAAGAGGAAACCGGTACCGAGAGAAATGAGTAGGCTGCTACTGCTGACCATTCCCCTTGAAAAGGCTACCTGCTGGTCATGTTGGCTTCGTCATGTTCAGAGCCACCTAAGAGGGTTCTGACTTAACCTGGTTACTACAGGGTCAGCAAGCTGGTACTGGAACTGAAGGACAACAAAACAGGCAAGCTCAGCAATGGCAGTCAAAATAATTCCTTCAGCAGAGCCTTGCTTTAAGAATTCAGGGGCCAGTCAGTCTGATCTATTAGCCAAGAAGCAGTTTATATTACCTTTTGCAAAAAAAAAAAAAAAAGACGGACATCAAAATGAGGGGCTCAGCATATGTTCCTCAGGTCCTGGGTCCTCCATGACATTTAGCATTCAAAAAGGACATTCAGCCAAATAGTCCTTTATTGCGCGTCACATCACCAAACTGAACATGAGCTGTGCCATCTCTTTGCATTCATGGTGTCCTCCCTCACCTGACCATTGCCTCCACACCGCTTGCCATGGATAGGATATAGCAGTCTTTCACCATCTCAAAACACCACAGGGGGAATTTATCAAAACTGGAGCAGACAAAATTTTGAGCAGATTTGCATGGCAACCAATCAGCTTCTCTCTCTCATTTTCTTATCTTACATTGCAAACCGAAGAGAGATGCTGATTGGTTGCCATCGGCAACTGCTCCAGATTCTGTCTCCTCCAGTTTTGATAAATTCCCCCCAATGACACCAAACTCTTCCACACTATAATCTCTGTACAACATTTGATGATACCAATTCTTACCCACCTTGTGCCAGCATGTTAAACTCTAAAAACAGTGCTATGTGGTAGAGCTCCATGGCCTCTTCCGCCCGGGTCATGTTGGGCTTTCCTGCTACCAGAGCCTGAACTTCGCTCAGGCTCCCGATGGATGGGCTACAGTGCAAGACGTAGGACAGGTCCACTACGTCCGTGTACATACAATGCAAAATGACCTTTGCATATTTTTTTGGTATGATGGATTCGTCTAGAATGATTCTAGTCGGAGTCCTTAAAGTCCGATCGGTAATCTCCTCCCCAGTCCGTATTCGCCTTTGCAGCAAGTTGCGGAAGAACGGAGAACGCGCTGAGAGAACCGCCTTGTGCGCTCGGAGCTCCTCTTCCAGGCAGCTCTGAGCGCCATACGTTTCCACCAGCTCAGAGTCAGAGGAAAAGCTAAGCACCGCGTCGTAGTAGCACATGTAATCGAACAGTCCACGCATTTCAATGTCCAACGAGTTTGGTGTACCGAATTCCTCGCTAAGCTGAACGAGGATATCCACGTTCTGGAACCTGGAGTCCTCTATGCCAAACTCGCCCGTATACAGGTAGTGTAACAAGGCCGAGAACATTGGCATGTCTATGCCAGCCGTGTTAATGTCCATAATGATTTCTGCCCCAAATTCCGGAGAGGACGAGAGCAGCTTCTTAAAAAATGGACACCTTGCTGCCAATATGGCACGGTGGACAGGAAAGCACGTTTCCTGGAATATTAAATCAACGTCCGTACAGTATTTGTACTCGTACAAGTCAGCCATGTCCTTCTGTAAAGTCCTGGTCTCTGGCCGGGCCAGGTTGGCCTGTAAGGATAGCTCTTTTAAGGCTGCTGTTCCCTCATATTCCTCCACAAGTGCATTAACGTCTCGGACATCCCACCCGGAGAGCAGCTCCCGCATCTGCTTGGCGTGATCAGCGGAGCGGCTCGTCTTCCGACGCTTGATGAATTTCTTCTTGAGCGTGGCCAGGCCGGAGGTTTTCTTTTTCTTGTCTTGGGGTTTTTCGTGTCCATGCTCCAGGCTGTAGAGCTTCGATTCGTAGCCATAGCCTTGCTGGGAGTAGGAGGATGTTCCTAGGTACAGAAACGCAATTAGTTTTTATATCTTGAAAAATTTGGGGGTTTCTTACACATATACACACAATCATACACAATAGTCTACAGATCAATTCAAGCTACATCAGCGAAAACACCTCAACAATATATTAAGTTTACTGTAAACCAATTGTAGGTAGATGGAGAGTCCCTCCGCACTCCTCACAACGCTCCCAGCCTATATAGAAGAGGGTGCTCGCAGTGATGACCACGGGTCCTTCCATCAGGGCAAAAGGATGTGAGGTCACATCCTTTTGCCCTGATGAAGGAACCCTGCGTGGCCCCGAAACGTTGGCTTTCCTCACTATGACGATGTGTCCAATAAATGGACATATTTATTGATAATATTGAGTGCTGGTGATTCCTGTCCTCTGTTTACTCGGCCCACCTCCTGTCGTTTTCTGCAGTCAGCCTGCAGTGGGTGGAGCCTGTTGGTCCCCTCCCACAGCACTGCTCAGGGCTATGTTACTTTAAGGTAATACCTGCATCTGCATAGTCATTGGGTGCACACAAGGCAGATTTATAGCCTTTGTAGCTATTGGGGGAATATATTTCAATGAACGTTTTTGTGCCCAGAGCTTAACTTTTAATTTCCCAGATTTGTGACCGATTTACTTCTAAGTTGATCAGAAAAGCCGTTATGACCCCTTTAATAAGCCCAGGAAATCAGGACGACAGAAGTATTCAGAGAAGTTTAAATGAGGGTCTTCATACGCCTATGTAAACATTTCTGAAATTTCAAGTGCTGGCACCAGCGGAATGATCACACTACACAGAAGACCTTTATTCTTCTCAGGGCAATCCCAAATGCTTAAAATACCAAAAGAATTTCACATAAATCCAGCCGGGAATTCCACTTGCTGGGGAAACCTTGAAAAAAAATAAAGAGAGAGACGATACCTATAAAGGTTTGCTGCGTCTGTGCATTTCCCCCAACCCTTGGGGAACACGAGTGCGGGTAGCTCGATGCATTCACACCCATGTCGTCAGTCACTCAGACATTCCGCCTGACCGCTGTCCAAAGTACGATGCCACATCGCCGCATTATTACGAATTCCAGGTTCTCCCAGAAGATGTGTGTCCATGTCTGAAAATAGAGAAACATTGTTTTAGATATTCAGCGCTCATTTGATTAATGATTATGATCTAATAACAATTTCGGTGGTGAGAAGATTAATGTACCGCCATAGGGAAGTGCAACTGCTGACCTTCCTAAAATGCCAGCTGCCTGTCTACAGTTTCGCCAGAACAGGACCTAAATTTTGTTGGGAAACCCCAACAAATGACGGTTTTATTTGCTTGCTTTTGGTCTGTTAAATATACAATTGAACGTGTTTTGTTATATCTGTTTGATAAGTGCAAAACACACACCCCTTGATCCTGCCAGAAATCTTGTGACCTGATCACTTCCTGTGCTGCACTCTTACCAGTTACATTGTTCCAAGTTTGCTTTGTGCATTACAGAACACACACTCCCCCCTCATGTTCTGGAAATGAATGGGAAGTGTTCTATAGTCCTGTCCATGCTGCTCCTACATATGCCGTAAGGTAAGTAAAGGGAAAAAAGGATGAATGAAAACTAATGCAGCCACCACATTTGGAAAGCTGCAACATTTTGCACTTGTGTTATTGGGCATAGATATGCCTTCAGCCAGTGAGGTCACAATTCCTGATCTGCATTCTTGCCCTGGGTCTGTGACTCTAATGATCACCAATAATATCCGAGTACTAGCACTTCTAGAAGATCTACAATGGCATCTCTATATTTTGGTCCGACTGTCACAGCGCTCCCTCCAGCCTCTACCCTCCTACGCTGCAGTGATGGTATGACTCTCGGCATCCTCGCGTTCAATCCACTGTAATTTGGACGTGGCTACTCAAGGGTTCTTAAGGTGGCCATACATTGTGCGAATTTCGCCCGGTTCTAGAGGAATTCGCACAGCGGGTGCCGCAGTCGGCACCCTTTTGGCCGGCATCCCTAGATCAGCTGATCGAAGGAACCAGTCGGAAAATATTCATACGAACAGAGCTGCCAGCTCTGTTCAGGTATTCTGACAGCGGCCGTCAGAAGAACACAAAAGAAACAGCGGGGATTCCGCGATCAACGCACTCGATGGAGAAATCTGCTCTATTTTTTTCATTTAGCCCGCAGGTTGAACGAACAAAATAAATAAAAATAGAGCAGTGTATGGCCAGCTTAAGACTTGCAGCGGAAGGAGAGCGCGGCTGGAAGGAGCAGCCTAACAACAAGCCAGATCTGAGGTTCGGGTGAGTATAACTATGTTATTTTAGTCCCTAGACACAAACGAGTAGTTAAACCTTGCAGTAAATCTGTAAAAAATGAGTCAAGGCAACTGGACTGACTTATTGGACCCAGTTGCCTTGACTTATTTTTTTTACAGATATACCCTGACCTGGATGAATGAAAACCTTCACAGACACCTTGCAGTAAAGTTCTACTTGAATGAAAATGGTGTTTTCCTTTAAGCAGCTACCATGGCCTTCGAAAGGGATGTAACCCTTTGCCATCTGTATTTCAAAGGCACAATAATGACTTCATTCTTGGGACTGGCCCTGCCCTGATCTACAACAACAACATAATACATTTAAATCTAAATATACAAGTCCCTATGTGAAAACACAATCATAATGGTGCCCACATGCAGAGCGATTATAATCTCTTCCTATGTATGGTTAATTCTCAGCAGGTTGCGGCTCAATAGTTCTAAACAAAGAGGATATAAAAAAAAACTTTCATACAATGGAGGCATTCCCTGATCTACGGTGTGTTAATAAATGCGATGTACAGAGGGGGGGTAAGACACAGACACACTGTTAGCGAGACCCTATCATTAGCTCCCACTGCTAGGAAGGAGGTAGAAGTGTTACCTGGTTATATTTAGTGACAGCAACAGCTTCTCATTTTAGAAATATCCGGCTTTTCCATTATAATGGAATTATCATGTAAGCAAACTCTAAATAACCCCATCCCCACCCAGCCGCCTTCTCTATGTCCTGGGAACGTTGGTGGTGAATCTGCAGAAGGTATGCAAACCTGCCGTGACCCTCGCGAAGGGCCTTCCAATCTCGCTGCTACATTTGTAACTCATTTTATTCTATGTAGACATACAATGTAACACACGGAATGGAAACATCTACATGTGACAAGTGGTCAGAAGCAGAGAAGATCTATTCTACACAAAGAGCCAAAGAGATCTTAAAGCCGGCAGCACACCAGTGAGATATCAAACCGGAAAAAATGTGATTTTGGAACGTTCTTTCGATTATTTTAATAAAATCGGCAATCAGAACAATGGTTTTCATTCAAAGAGTTTCCTCGATTTTTTTTTGTCATTACAGTGAACGATTGTCAATTTGAATGACCGTAGCGATGAGAAAAAAACAACTGGAGTGGGACGTAAAGCTTTTCTCCAACGAAAACAAATTCTAAACAATGAATGTGGTTCTCTTCATTCCAAAACCGAATGTTAAAAACAAACAAAATGTCGAATTTCGTCAAGACTCCGAAGGAGTTATTGAATGTTCTGACGCGATTCATTGTAAGAACGTTTGTGCGAAGAGCTACCAGTGTATGGCCGGCTTAAAAGAGAACTAAGGTCTCATTCACATAGCCGCGGATATACGCGCGTATTGTACCATATGTAAATAAATGGCTCCATACACATAGCTGCGTATGGAGCCGTATATTTGCGTAGCGTAAAAATGCGCAAAAACAGAATGGACCCGAGATGCGTCCGGGCAGCGTATGTCTGCGTATTTTGCGCGTACGCACGTACAGTCAATTAAAATTTCTATTACGAATGATGCATTCTGGGATTGCATATATATTGCATGCATATGCACATATACGCACGTGCATACGCGCATGTACGCGTATATACGCAATATACAATTTTGCTCTTGCGTTGTGTGTGACTGAGGCCTTAAACCAAACCTTTTTAGGCTTTAGTCCTTTTTTGGGTCAAAGGAGCATATTTACCACTGTCCTCAGCAGATAGCAGGCTACTGCCTGCTATATGCTGACAGCTCAGAGCCACACTGCAGCTGGGAAATAACAACAATACTTTCTTGATCCACCCCGCTGCCTGATTGACAGCTGGCTCTGCCTCTTTAGAGCCAGCTGTGCCAGCTGCATCCCCTGACTGTCCTCCAATGAGTGCTGGAGGAACGGGGAGGAGGGAATGCCTGCAGGGAGCAGAGACTGACGGTCACTTCTCTCATGGAGAAGATCAGAAGCTGAGTGATCAGCCGTTTGTGATCACTCAGCTCTCCATCTATAGAGCTGACATTTGACAGGTTCCGTGTCACACCCCGGTTCTAAGTATTGGGAAGAGTACATTTTACTCTCCCAATACTTCTCCTTTAACTCTGCCCTCCACGTTCAGTCTATAACTGATACATCACTTTTCGGGCTTCTGACCATTAAACTAAGACAACTATTGAGATTAAAAAGGTACGATGATCAGAAAATAGCATTTACAGCTCAGGACGAGGCTCCAAATTGTGCTGAAGCAATTAAGACCCATCTCTCATTTTGGGGTTAATACATCTACTTCACCAGAAACCAGCAATGGAACGTTCCGATACAAACCGAATCCACAAGAATTTGCTAAAAGGGCTCCACTAACATCTCGGCATAATGTGAGGTCTGTACAGTACACCGAGAGAGAGAGACTCCGCATACAGCGGGACACAGATCAGCAATAGTAGGGGAACTCCGCACAGCTATGACTGGCCAACTTTTATTTCAGGATGATGGATGTGTTTATAATGTGTCTACATTAGATATTTCTTTTTAAATAAAGACACATGCAGTACATCTTTACAATGCACAAACACCCCTCTTGTTTTATCTTGTGAAAACACTGCAAGCACAGAATAAGTTGATTGGCCAGAACTCCAGTATGTGCCTAAAGCTGGCCACACACCTATAGATTATCTGCAGACTTTCTATGGTCAGATGGAAAAGGTGCAACAGATTCCTCCATCTACACTAAACTGTGTGTTCATTATGTGTGAATAGATGCAGAAACAAACATCTGTAAATGTTCATTCCAGGTCAAATGTAATGTCAGGAAAATACAGCATTATGGCCACTAGATGGAACTGAAGAGCACAGGAAGATACTTCTTTCTTTGATTTTGCCTCCAATCACACAGAATAAACGTATTTCCAGTTCCTTAGGACGAATAGGACTATGGCTTCATATATATACCTCTAAGAGTTTAGCTCGCTTTGCAGTTCTGCCATAGTTTTCTGATTTTAAATGGCCGCACTAAGTGAACAGAAGGCATCCTGGTATCCCTCTAAATGTACATACCGACAGCAATATCTGAATAAACACACTACAGGGATGCTGGGGATGCGCACCTTCACACAACAATGGACACGGAGGATTATCTGCTTCTTATGCTGGATTTCTATTGAAATTTCCATTCCCCAGTAAAGCAAAGCTTGGAGTACAGAAACAATGATTTTAGAAGTACTGAGCATGCATCAAGAAGGAACATCACATCTCTCTCTTTATCACAGTTGTACATTGATTCTTTAAATCCAAACAGAAAACAGACATCGGCTCGGAGAGCTCCCCGCACGCAGCAGATTTCAATGTGTTGGTTTGAGATGGTGTAGCAGGACACGCAATTGGAACATGTTTAAAAGCAACGTAGCCGAGAATTTCCAAGAAGCGCGGCCTCATGTTTTCAGTTACTGGAAGTGCACGGCAGCCCGAGAAGCTTCACCCGACATAAAAGGAGAGGAGCAGGCACGCTATAAGCAGAAGGATGAACTTGTAACCGTATGACTTGCTCAGTCATTACACACGATACCTGTAACATGTACGGTACACTCATTCTATGTAGCGTCAGCCATACCCTGCGTGTACATCACCTACATTTCATGTCATGGAGTAGCACAGGGGCAGACAACCTCAGCACTACAGCTGTGCTGAAACTACAAATTCCATCATGGCTCAGAGTCGTGCCCATGGCCATCAGTCTTGCAATGCCTCACTGGACTTGTAGTTCCACAACAGCTGGAGTGCCGAGGTTGTCTACCACTGG